GAATGGCCAATAGCTAGGCAGTAGAAGAATAGGTAAAGCTGGAGGAATAGAGAATAAGTAAGAGGAATCATCTAGGCTGGAGAGAGAATGAGAGAGAAGAGAACTATGGAGAAAGAGAGGGAAATGCCCAGGGCCAGCCAGGTAGCTGCCAGACAGATGGACATGAAGTAAGACATGCAGAATGAAAGAAAGGTATAAAGCTCTAAGGCAAAATGTAGATGAATATAAACAGGTTAATTTAAGTTATAACAACTAGTGGGACAAGCATAAGCTAAGACAAAGCATTCATGTCTAGTAATAAGCCTCTGTGTTGTGATTTGGGAGCTGGTTGGTAGCCTAAAAGAAAGCGTGCTACAGAATAGCACATATAACATCTCACATATGTATTCTTTAATTATAGTGACAATATTCAAATTATTTTCAGTTACTCTTATGTGAATCTAAAAATGCTGATCTCACAGAAGTTGATAGCAGAATACTATCAACCAGTTGCTGGGGGAAGGTAGAAAAAAAGAGGATAAGATGGTTATTGTGCACAAATTAATCCAAGAACAAGAAGTTTCAATATTCTATCATGTTCACTAGAATAGAATTGAATAGCAATAAAATCACTGTGCCCAGGCGGTGGTAGCGCATGCCCTTAATCCCAGCACTCAGGAGGTAGAGGCAGGTGGATCTCTGTGAGTTCGAGGCCAGCCTGGTCTCCAAAGCGAGTTGCAGGAAAGGCACAAAGCTACAAAGAGAAACCCTGTCTCGGAAAAAAAAATCACTGTGTACCTAACTTAGATTTTGTACAGAACCTGATGAATGTGTAATGTTTGACATGAACATGACTATGTCAAAGACCACAATGGCTCAGCTCCATGGGAATGATGAGGCTCAGAGGAATGGCAAAGTCTTCCTCTTGTCCAAGTAAATATGTTAACAGTGTGTGCAGAAAATACCAACAATCACTTTCTCCCTCTCCCCTCAATGTTTATGGCCTGAAGACTGTTCTCCTGTAGAGACAGCTCCTGTGAAAATGAACTAAAACAAAAATTAAGTTGAATAATTTAGCATAGTGCCAGGAGCAAACTCTGTGTAAGTCAATTTTTATAAATTGTTCCTTACCTTTCCTGCACCCCCAGAATCTACAAGGCCCTCTTTATTACAGCAATGCATTTCATTAATTTTTAACTCATGGAATTGTCCTAAATCAACAACCATTATCAATTTTCTCAAGCACCCAACCCATTGCTAGGCACATAAACTATTTTGGTACAATCTTCCTTGAAACTGCAGCAGAAACCCTCATGTAAGAAAGATGTTTCTGCCTCCATTTACTGAGAGTTTAGGCTGAATCCACACTTCGATGTGTTTAACAACTATGTAGTCTTATATGTGTATGTCACTTTTTGTATTGTTAAAATGTGATACTCCCAACCTGTCCTTCCCAACAGGATCCCCTTCACTAGATAAAGCTACTAAAATCCAGTAAATATATATTCCATTTTCCACTCTCAGACAAAATATCTCCTATTGAGGAAATCCTCAGGTAGGGTATACATGAACTGTGAGATGTAACATGAATCTTAATAAAAAAAAAACCCAGGCCTGATATTAGGGTGAAAGGTGAAAGATCAGAGAAACAGAGCAAGCTACAGCCAACCTTACCTCACCAACTCCTCAACCACTCCTCTTTCCACGAATACTCAGACTGAAAGTCTCTGAGACCTCACCCTTAAGTGTCTCAGTTGAACTGCCACTAAAAGCCTCTAATTCATGGTCCTCATGCCTTATATACCTTTCTGCTTCCTGCCATCACTTCCTGGGATTAAAGGCATGGGTCCTTCTCAAGCAAAGACATGAGATCTTGAGTGCTGGGATTAAAGGTGTGTGCTACCATGCCTGGCTCTCTTCCCAGTGTGGTCTTGAACTCAACAAAGATCCAGATAGATCTCTGCCTCCAAAATGATAGGATTAAAAGTATGTGTGCCACCACTTTCTGGCCTCTATGTCTAATATAGTGGCTGTTCTGTGCTCTGATCACCATGTAAGTTTTATTGGGGTGTATAATATATCAACCACAGTGAGATGTCTGTAGAGACTTCAGAATTTGGACTGTCAGATGAAGCTTCCTGAGCTTATACATTGGATGGCACTAGCCAAAAATCTCATCTTGGCAAAAATAAGGTCAAATTGTATGACTTGTCAAGCAAAGTAAGCTACCTTGCCCTTTCAGAAATAGCACAGAGGTTTTATTAAGCACATCGTTAATTTTAAGGTCATGTATATGGAATGTAAATATAAATGCTAACAAATACGTATGTAGCCTGAAGGAATTCTTACTTTTAATGACTCTAGAATGAGATATGTTAATAGTATCATTCAGTAAGTAAAAATTCTATTTTCATTCTAAAAGTGAGGGAAGTATTTAATCAGTCACAAGCCAATAAATATGTTGGTGATGTTGATTTATACTGATTTTAAGAAAAATATTTAAGCAAAAGGTATAAATTTTCAAAAATCATGTTCTAAAAGTTCCATAATAGCCGAGGTACAGATAGAATGTCTCTGACTGTTTTATTTGCTCTTGGGATGCTTTTCCTTGATATGAGGATTTGTTTCTAGTCTTATTGCATCTTGTTATGCTGTGTTTGGTTGATATCCCTTGGAGGCCTCCTATTTTTTGAAGGAAAACAGAGGAGCAATGGATCTAGGAAAGAGGGGAGGTGGTGGTGGGGACTTGGAGAGGAGGATGCAGTTGGGATGTACTGTATGGGTGAAGAAGAAATAAAAGGAAATAGAAAAGAAAAAAAACAAAAAATGAAACAAAAAACAAAATTTATGTCCTGTAATACAGAAGTCTAAGGCCTGATTTGAAAGTTACTTTTTGACTTTACAAAAGTTCAGATAGACTGTACACTATCCAAAATAAACTATATACTATACACTAGAAGGAAATGGACTTCTTACTCATGTAGAGTTTAAAGGGATGCTCTAATAAGTTGTTTTTAAAAGCAGTACTACTAAAAATGAGAATTATTTTTGCTTTTTAACTGTTATAGGACTGACACATTAGAGAGTATATTAATTAAATATAAAATTCTAAATTTTCAAATATTTTGCTTTAGATATAAATGATCAATCCTATGATAGAATCTTAAGACTACAGTGTTAAAAGATACACCCTGAAATAATAAGGGATCTTTTTTAAATAAAGAATAAATTGAGCAGTGGTGGCACAGGTCTTTAATCCCAGCACTCAGGAGGCAGAGGCATGTGGATCTCTATGAGTCTAAGCCCAGCCTGCTCTATGGAGCAGTTTCCAGGACAGCCAGGTCTGTTACATAGAGAAAGCTTGTCTCAATAAATAAAACAAAATAGTATAAATCCTAGTCTGTAAGATTGGTTGAAAGTCACAGCTAACAACTGTGTATTATAACAGCATATTTATAATGGGTTGCCTTGTAAAGCCTTGATACGAAGACTTTCACCTTGTCATATTGTATCTTGTTTTGTCCTGTCTGTCTAGCATCTCTTAGAGGCATGTTCTTCTCTGAAGGGGAAATGGAGAAGGTGTGCATCTAAGGGAGAAGAGAGGTGGGAGGGTAGGAGGAGAAGAGGGAGGGGAAACTGTGGTTCAGATGTATTATAAGAAAAGAACCTATTTTCAACAAAAAATGAAAAAAACTATGAATGATAATTTTCAGGATGCTTCTTAACATGTGTTATATTATTTAATTTTGAATCTTTGTGAACACATTACCTGATAGAAAAAAATTACGGGAAAAATGTTTATTTGGGTTCACGGTTTTATTCCATCATGGTGCAGCAACAATGGCAGAGACATTTGATTCCCAGCAGTTAGACTATGTGGTAGATGCTATTCATGTAATGATGATCCAGCAAGTGCAGAGCTAGACAGGAACCAAGGACTCAGTAACTTTTAAAGGACCACCCTTAATAACCTATATCTAACAAGGTCAGTTTTGACTCTTATTAAGTTTCCACAGCCTCCCAATATAGCACTATTTGTCTGAGGAAGAAGCATTCAAAATGTGAGTTTTTGAGGGACATTTCAAATTAAATCATAGCAGATGTATTAAAGGGAAAACAAAGATCAATGTAAACTTGAGGAATGTTCACAACCTTGAGAGAAACAAACTAGATTAGAGCCACACCATGGTTGCTTCAGTGGTGGTGAAAGTGTGCTTACTCCTAAATTGGTAATGATTTCACAATTGCTTGTTTTCTTAATAGGCTTCCTTGACTATATAATGATTATTTACTTTCTTTGGTATGTATCAATTTTCTTTTGGATGGTTGATACAGACATTAACTAAAGGATACAACTTTGGGGAAACATTTCAGAATTAAATTTGTAAATACAAGGCATTTTATTTGAATGGCAGTAGTATTTTGAATACAAATAATTTAAAACTTTGTATGGGCTAGTTTTATGTCAACATAATACAAGCTAGAGTCATCAAAGAGTAGAGAACCTCAATTGGGAAGATGCTTCCATAGGATCAGACTGTACACATTTTCTCAATTAGTGATTCATGGGGGGAGGGCCCAGTCCATTGTGTGTGGGTGTGACCATCCTTAGGCTGGTGGTCCTGGGTTCTATAAGAAAGCAGGCTGAGCAAAGCCATAGGAGCAAGCCAGTAAGTAGCACTCCTCCATGACCTCTGTATCAGATCCTGCCTCCAGGTTCCTGACCTGAGTTCCAGTCCTGACTTCCTTTGCCGACCAACAGTGATTTGGAAACATAAGCCAAATAAACCCTTTCCTCCTCAATTTGTGTTGGTCATGGTGTTTCATGACAGCAATAGTAACTCAACTAAGACATCCCCCATAGTTCAAAATCTTTAGGTATTTGACTGTAACTGGTGTTTTGCCAAGATATGAAGCAGTACTAGGTGTAAAGTTCTAAACCTCTGTTTGAACAATTAACTTGAATTAAGACTGTCCAAGAAGAGAGACTGCTTATCCAAAAGTATTTCAACTTGCTCATTTTATTTTTATATGTGTACAATTTTATTTCATAGACATTGGGTTCATAACATTATGAAATATGTACTGGAAGCACAAATATTGGAGGTTAAAGAATCATAAAATGAAGCTTCACAATTGTAGGAATGCAAAAAAAATAAAAAAACAAACTAAATTTAAACATTGTTGCAAGTTTCAAAACACTTGCAAGTGCCATCCCTTTAGAATTTTGGAGCAAGTTATCTGGAATTTCAATGAGCGAAGTTTATTCTTTTTCAAACCTTCCATTATTGTGTTGACTTTACTTCTTGCTGGTCAAAATCATTTATTAACTTCTTAATGTAAACCAGCTTGTTGTAAAGAAACACACATCTATCTTTTTCTTCACAAAATTTAGGATTAAGCTGTCGCATTTTCTGATATGCTACTGAAATTTTCTTAGTAATATCTTGATATTCTTTTGATCCTGGAGAAAAGGCCTTTCTTTCTGAATCTAAATCAATGATTGGTGTGCATGAAATCTGTATCTTATTGTACATGGCCTGATATTCATTATAATCTGCCCTGAATTCCTTCTCATAACTCTGACGTTGGTCAGAGGAAACTATGATGGAATAATTAGCAAAATAATCTGGAGTCCCAGGTGTAAAATATGTCTTCCCAGAGTCAGGGAAAACTTTTTTAACTTCCTTGTTGGAAGTTGACTTCATAATTTCATCTTGTTTTTTAAAATCTATCTTCTGTTTCTCCATTGGGCTGGCAATGCAATTTGGAATGGTTGTTTTTCGCTTTGCAAATGTACATTTGAACTTCTCAGGCATGAAATTCTGTATTTCTATTGGCTTTGAATACTTTTTTTGAACTGAAACACAAGATGGAGCTTCAAATGAAGTGTGTTTATTCAACTCTCTTTCAAACATGCCACTGTCATGATTGATGCTGTCACATGGATTTTGAGTCCCAGATCTTTCTGGAGCACTGTAAACATTATGATTGCATTTCATGAGCAGTGGTGAATTTGAGATTGGCAGATGAGAGGTAGGCAATGGTAAAGGGATGTATTTGGTAGCAGTTGCAGAACATGGCAGAATTAAAGATTTCTCACTGTTACCACTTACTTGGTCATTTGATGTTAACTGTATAGCAGATTTAGGGGGAAAGAGTCCACCTTTGTTTTTCATTAAAGTGTCAATACTAGACAAGTAGTGAAAATGATCCTTTGAGGATGATGCATCATCTATTTTAGAAACTACAGATGATTCTTTGCAAGGGGTAGCCTTGGTAGCTTTATGAAACGGTCGCAGTTTTCTGGAAAGCACCAAATCCAATGACTGCTTGTCTACCTCATTATAACCAGGCCAATCTCTCTGGACCTCTTTGAAGATACTGTCTTTTAAAGTATATGACAAAGTAGTGGCATTCAAATTAGCCACCTGCAGCAGTATTTTTCCAAGAAAATTGGTGTCATTTATTTTGATGCCATCTTTTTGCAGTTGAACAAGAAGTTCAGATTTCTTGTAGTCTTTCAGTGCCAGTAGGTGAATCACTCTGTCCCTATATGACCAAGTGTGGACACCATTTATTGGCTTTGACTTTTGGAAGGCATGTCCATGGTTGAGAGGGGTTGTTCTTTTCCTATCAGGTGCTTGATCAGGAACAAATTGAGACACTTTTCGAACTGGCACCTTTTTCTGTACATATGATTTTCTAATATTCTTCCATGTATTGCAGGATTTCTCTTCTGCTTCTGTCATTATTGGTGGAGTCAGTTGAGAAGAGCTGGTGGCTCTATTCACCATCATTTTGTCTTGGATTGATTGTGTGCAGTTGAATTGTGGGCGGATAGAATTTGACACATTTGGTTGGGGATTGCTGATTTTGGATTGTTGGGTGTCATTACTGACATTTGACAATTGATAGTTAAAGTTTTTCATATCAGTAGATGAATTGTTTGGTGAGATTTTGCTAAGCTGTTGAAATCCTTGGAACTGAGAACCTTGGGAAGGTAATGAATACTTATTGTTCTGGTATGGGGAACTTGCCTGGATCATTGGCCTTGGAAACCCCAGGGGCAGCCTGTTGGCATTGCTCAGCCCTGGGTCTATGCTGTCTGCCTCCTTCACAGGCATCTGTCCTATCATTTTTCCTGTTGCTCTGCTTCCAAAGGAAGCCAAATAGTCATACCTGTAAAAATCAAAGTTTGAAAGAAAAAAAAATGATTTTATTCTCCTTGGCATATATGAACTATTATTACTATTGTTTATAAAACTTTACTTAGAAAATATTTTATCCTAGTTGAACAAATAAGAGAAATAGCTAACTGAGGAAAATTTGGGAGAGATAAAATTGTCGTAAGAATTTAATTATTTTTCATCTTTATAGCTTCTCTTCCAGAAGCCGTATTAGCTCAAACTGAAAATATGTTATTCTCTGAATTTAGTATACAAAATTATCTCCTCAGAAATTAAAGTAAAGGTACTTGATAATGGAATCAACAACATCTACAAATTAGTGGAGGCTGGAGGAAAAGGCTTCCACATGACATGATTAAAAGCATGTCCACATTATACTTAGTCTGTCATGAAAGACATCTTTTTAATCTTTCAAAGGATTGGAGTTTGGCCTATCCACAGGGGTTTTCACTTGCAACCATATAATTTGCATTAATAATAGATGAAAATAAAGAATTTAGAGGTGTGTTTTTTAATTCTTAAATCTCTATACATCTCTAATAATGGGAAGTAATTTGCTCATTACTGTTTTTCTATCAGCCTTTCACTCGATATCCCTTCTTCCCACTAATGTTCTTCTCCATAATCTTTTATTGCATTATTCCTCTTATTTATTTAGAGTCTTCACATTACCATTCTATTTAAGATAGTGCCCTACCAAAATGAATAAAAAATTTCTTAAAAAATAGAATTTTAGAACAAATGGAGAGTGGGTTAAGGGGGAAAGCCTTTGAGGAGGTAGGAGGAGGGAGGAGAGGGGGGTCTGTGATTGGTATGTAAAATGAATAAAAAAATTTCTTAAAAAATAGAATTCCTGCCAGGCAGTGGTGGTACATGCCTTTAATCCTAGCACTCGGGAGGCAGAGGCAAGCAGATCTCTGTGAGTTCAAGACCAACCTGGGCTACAGAGTGGGCTCCAGGAAAGGCACAAAGCTACACATAGAAACCCTGTCTTGAAAAACCAAAAAAAAAATAGAATTCTAGAACATATTGCTTCTAATTGGCTGTGTAAAAAGATCACCCTTTCAGATGATCAAGATCAGAAATTATATCAAAGAAATATTTATATAAAAGTACAATATTTTAATACTTCAAAAAAAAGTGCCCTACCATTCACAGTCACTCCAGAACACTCTTTCCATTATCTTGTATAGAGCACATTTACTAACTGCAATCAGATTACATTCACTTGATGGTTTCATATATGTTACTTTGACCAGGATAAGAATTTAATAAGGGATTGGGTTTTGCCAATCTTTACATTGCTTGACTCTAGTAGCTAGAGTTATCCCTCAAAGATTTAGGAAGCAGTTGGTACTTCTTTAAACAAATTCATATTCATGTTAAGTCTCACACATTTTTCTTTCTTTCTTTCTTTCTTTCTTTCTTTCTTTCTTTCTTTCTTTCTTTCTTTCTTTCTTTCTTTCTTCTTTTTTTCTTACTTTTTTTTTGGTTTATTCAAGATAGGGTTTCTCTGTGTAGTTTTCATGCCTGTCCTGGATCTCACTCTGTAGACCAGGCTGGCCTGGAAACCACAGAGATCTGCCTGCCTCTGCCTCTCGAGTGCTGTGATCACAGGCATGCCCAGCAAGTCTCACTCTTGATAGGTTCACTCTGCTAAATTTCTATTCACTCTTAGATATCTAGCTTAAAGCTAAGTTCATTTGTAACATCTATCATCAAAAATAATTATTGCCTTCATTATTACCTCAGAGCATTTTGTATAAATTCTCTAAAAAATAACACATATTATATCATCATTACATTTGTTTTTATACTAGTCTATGACCTTTAGAACCATAGAGATTACTGGATGTGTAATTTTACTGACTCTTGCCATTTTTTGTCCACAGTACTATACTATACTCTTTAATCAATAGCTACATAAGAGAAGCAGTTTCTACATGTCAAGAGAATAACTAGCAACACCTTTGCATTTTTAAGGCAAATCTATATCTCTATCACATCAAGAAGTATATGAGTCTATTAATGTCAGAGAGATGCTTCATTCCTCTTTAATATTTTTCATAATCCCATAACTTCACAGTACATTTCTATAAAATAGAAGAATGAAATAACTGATGCAGAAATAACATTAAATCAATGTAATGCAGAAGTATTGTCAGCAATATAATGCCTTCATACATATATGAATGCTATTTTATTCTTGCTGGAGATCCTTAGTAAATATAAACATAAATAAGCTGTGTTTCCTGTCTTTATGTATACAATACTTTAGATACTAAAAAAATATTCCAATCATAGTCTTGTTTTCAGATAACAACAAAATGTCTTTTGACAAAAGAATGAGAAGACAGGCACATTGTGACAAAAATATAAAATTATTTTATAGACATGAAAGTCTTGAAAATATTGACCCAATCTATTCCTTTTTTATTTTATTAATCAATTATCTTTTCCAGCCTGATCACAGTTTCCCCTTCTTTCAGTCTCTCCTTGCAACAACCCTCCTCCCCTCACTGCATCCGTTTCTCCTGCTTTCTAGTATGAGAAATGCAAGCCTCCCATGTATATCAGCTAGCCATGGCATATCAAGTTGCAGCAAGACTAGGGACCTCCTCCCCTAGTAAGGCTGCATGAGGCAAACCAGTAGGAGGAAAGGGTCCCAGAAGCAGTTAATGGAGTCAGAGACAGCCCCTGCTCTGACTGTTAGGAGTCCTACAAGAAGATAAAGCTATACAGCTGTAACATGCTGTGGATATTGCTCTATATAAATAAAACACTGGCCAGTGACCAGGCAGGAAGTATAGACAAAACAAAAAGAGAGGAAAATTGAGAAAACAAAAAGAACAGGAAGAGACACTGCCAGCCACCGCCAGGACAAACAACATGTAAAGTTGCCAGTAAGCCATGAGCCACGTGACAAGGTATAGATTTATAAAAATGGGTTAATTTAAGATATTAAAAACAGCTAACAAGAAGCCTGCCATGGCCATACAGTTTATAAGTAATATAAGGATCTGAGTGATTATTTTATATGTGGGTTGTAGGACTTCGGGGCTTGGTGGAATCTGGAGAGAACCTCTCCAGCAACAAATGGCGCCCAACATGGGGCAAGAGTTTCCACCTAAAATCTGAGTAAAAAGATTCTAAAACGGAGCTAAAAACTGGTCCTAGTTGTCTCTTTCAAGCTAGCGGCAGCCTGTGTGTTTGAGCTACTATGGCAGTTTCCTGGCGTGTGCGCTTGACCTAAAGTTTGGCGGGAATGAGGCTCTGCAAGTGGCAAATTAAGCTGCATTGTAGATTTAGCCTTTGCTGGTACAAAACAAAAAAGCTTTCTGGGCTACATACTGCTTGAATAAAAACATAGACCCACTATTTCTGAGAGTTAATGGCTCCCAGAGCTGGCAGAAAACATACCACCACCATTCTGAGAAGCTGAAGTGGGCAGAGCCAGCAGCCACAGCGCAGTTTCAGTCTTAGAATGCTGTAGTTTAAAGCAATAGGCTCGAGGTAATATAAAAAATAAGCCACATAAAGATGGCTACCACACAGAAAATCTGGATTATATTCTCTTTGATATTCGTAACTGAAGAAAAGCATTTGATTACAAAAGATGTTGAGTTATGCCAAAATATATATTTTAAAGGTACCTTGACTTCAAAATTTGGATGTAAGGATATGTTGCTTTGGAAAGGAGGCTCTGCTTTTGTTTCCACAGAAAGCCAGAGGCTATGGATTTGTTCCAGATTAAGATACATCAGGTTTGACCAGCCAAGACCCCCTAAAATGTCTCTGATAACACCATAGCCCAGATAATCCAACATTCACAATCATCTCAAGACAACTGGCTCAGACAATACAGCCTCACAGACTATTCCATGATCCTAAAATTATCTTTGTGTCTCCATAAGATACAGCGCCCCCTCCAGCAAAAAGTAGTAAGAAAAGCTACGCCCAAATTCCCAAATATACCAACCTGGCTTTGGAGATGTGTAAAAGTTAAAACCTTCCTTTTTAGAAAAAAGAAAAGAAAAAGTGCTGTGGGATGGTCTGTATGTCAAATCTGTTGCTCTGATTGGTCAATAAATAAAGCACTGATTGGCCAGTAGCCAGACAAAAAGTATAGGCGGGACTAACAGAGAGGAAAATTAAGGGAACAGAAAAGGAAAGAGAGTCACTGCCAGCCGCCACCATGACCAGCAGCATGTGAAGATGCCGGTAAGCCACGAGCCACGTGGCAAGGTATAGATTTATGGAAATGGATTAATTTAAGCTATAAAAACAGTTAGCAAGAAGCCTGCCACAGCCATACAGTTTGTAAGCAATATAAGTTTCTGTGTTTACTTGGTGGGGTCTGAGTGGTTGTGGGACTGGAGGGTGACAAAGATTTGTCCTGACTGTGGGCAAGGCAAAAAATAAAAAAAAAACTCTAGCTACAGTAACATATGTACAGAGTGCCTCGGTCAGTCCCATGCAAGCTCTCTGGTAGGCAGTACATTCTCTGTGAGCCTCTATGAGCCCAGGTTAGTTGATTCTGTGCTTTTTTTTTTTTTTTTTTTTGTGTGTGTGTGTTCTCCTAGAACTAAAGGAATCTCACAAATGGGACTGAAAGTGAATAGCTTCTCTACCTAATAATATAACATAAAGCAACAATTATTAGCAGGGAGAGAAATAAAAAAACTTTTAGGAAAAATAGATGAAAATAAACAAAATGACAGAACCTACTAGACAATAAACAAAACTATGATAATCAATGGATAAATGGTAGACAATTATATAAGCATTACTAAAATACTAATTGTCAACATTTTAGCAAGGATATCAAATTAGAATTTTGCTTCATAATAGGTATAAATTCTCTCTATATATATCACAAGATAAATGTAAAAATTAAATAATATGACAAAGGACTTGACATTTCAAATTTTTAAAAATATACAAAATGGAATATATATTTTATTACATAAATTATTTTTCATGTAATGTACACTTAAGTTTTATAAAATCACCCCTCAAAACTTGCAATCAAAGTATAAAAAGGTGAAGAATGACAGAGTTGTATATTGTGATTTTGAGCTGTGAAGAATTGACTTGTTTACATGAATCTTATTGCTCTAGTTAGTGGATATAATTCTAATATACTCATTGATCTAGTGACAAAATTATATTTTAAAAATACATAAAATTTTTGTTGTTTGAAGAAGTATAGTTCAGCACATTGTTAATAACACATTAAATGCTTATTTCAGAAGGAATTGTGAGATTGGATAATAATAACATATAAAAAGTCTCTGACATTGAAACATATTTAAAGGACATCACCTGATTGTTGCCCCAATCTGAAATTTGTAGCTTTGTCTGGATTGCTATTTGGTGACTGATGAGAAACTACTTTCTGATCCACAGACTGTGTCTTACTAGTTTATGCTGGGATATAAAAAGTGGACAGGGATCTCTCGGGAATTACATTTATAAGAACACTAATCTAATTTATAAGGACTCGTTGTGTTCTGTAGCAGTGAGAATGACAAAAAATTCTTAATCTGTCCAACTTATGTAGTATAAAACATGTATACCAACTTATGTGCTATACCACCTTCCAGTTTGATAGTGCCTCAAAACATGGCTTTGACACACTATGTAAACAAATTAGACTATCAAAACCCAAACTTTGAGCAAATTTCTGTGTAAGAGGAGGCATTTATAGCAGATATCTTAGATCGCACTGGTATCCACTATATAGTACATGTTTTATCTTCTTAGTTAAAGAAAAAATGCACAAACACAGGTTCAAATCACTGTTGTTAACTTTAAACACCCTTAAGACCTAGCCACATTTGGCAATATGTCTACCTTTTCTTACCTGTCCACTGTTCATTGTCATCATCTAGGTTATGTGCTTTCTAGAGCACTGTAGTCTTTGCAGTGTACCTTCACACAGCACTTAATGTCCTTTGCTATGTAACTATCAACATATCAATGCTTCTAGAACTCTGACACCACAATCACTAATCTCCTCTAACATTCTCCATCCCCTGACTTAAAGCAAAACTTCAGTTCCCTTAAAGATATTACTTTCCTTCAACCCTCTCAAATTAGTGTTTTTGCTGTTGTTTTAAGTCTTTAATTTTATTTTATGTGTTGTAGGTGTTTTGCCTGCATGTATGTCTATAAAGCATTTATTTCCTAGAACACAAGTTGCAGATGGTTGTGAGCCACCATATGGGTCTATTGAACCCCAGTCTTCTAGAAGAGTAGCCTGTGCTCTTAACCTCTGAGCCAACTCTCCAGCCCCTGATGTTTTCTTATTAATAGTCTTCAGGTTAAATGTCCTAATTGGAGCTGCTGTAACAATCATAGACTAGGTGATTTATCAATGGCAAAAATCTGAAGCTGAAAATGCAAATCAAGGTACCTACACATTTTGTCAGCAGGTATGTGGGTTCCCCTTTCTCTATATCCTTTCTAGGATTTGTTGTTATTTTCATAATGATGGCATTTCAGACTGAAGTAAGATAGACTATCAACATGCATTTATATTTTCTTGATTGGTGAGAATGCTGAACTGTTTTTCATAAACATTTTAGCATTTTGTACTTGGTCTTCTAAGTTCTAAGGTCTTCAAATGTTTTCCGTTTACTAGCCCATTTATTTGTTGGGTTATTTAACTTTGGGGTATTTGACTTTGAATATTTTCAGTACATTCTCAACACTGACAATCTGTCAGATGCTTAGCTAGAAAAATTTTCTCCAATCTTCTAGAGTGTCTTTTCCCTTGAATGTTTGCTTTGAAGCTTTTCTTTCTTTCTATTTATTTATCATTATATTTGTATTATTTAAAACATTTTTAAAATTTGAGTATGTTTTGATTATATCCTTCCCCTCCTACCAGATCCTTTCCCTTTCCATACCCACCTAACTTTAAGTTTTTTCTCAAAAAAAAAACAAACAAAAATCCAATACAACAACAAAAAATTTCCAAACCAAGAAAACAAAATAATCCAATAACACAAACTGCAGCCAAACAAAAGCATACACAAAATTATGTGGAGTCTATTATATGTTGGTTAGCTACCCCTGAACATGAGTCCCATCCTGTAGTGTTTGATATACCTACAGTGTTACTCTATTGGAGAAAACTCATTTTCCCTCCAATGGAGAAGCTTTTTAATTTCATTCAATTACTTTATTTTTTAATCTAACTGTTTTTGTCAGTTTAGAGTTTTGTTACTTTATGGATAGTTGCTTCTAAATACTGAAATTTATTTACTCAGTTTTTTCTAGTAATTTGAAGCAATACTTTTATTTCCTTAAAAATACAATAAAGCATAATATGAATACACAACTGTGATTTGCAATGCTCTCATCTTAAAAGAGCACATAAAATATTAATTATTTGTTTTGCTTTTTATTTAGTCTTTTGTTTTTCAGTGTTTCATGTAGCCCAGGCTGGAAAACAACTTGCTATATAGCCAAGGATGACCTTGAACTGCTGATGTTCCTGCTAAGATTACAGATATGTGACACCATGCCTGTCTAGAAATGATTTCAGGAAATGTTTGTCTCCACATTTTTCCTTTCCTTCCTGAAATGTCCTTGTAGAGAATGCTGTAGATCTTGCTCCTCAAAGTCGTATTGTATATTATTTTGTGCCTAGATAAATAAAAACTAAGAAAAGTTATTTCATTTATATATTTTATAACAATATTTTTGTGACAGGGAATTGTGCTGTGGCATCCATGTGGACATCAGAAGACAACTTCCTTGAGTCAACTCTCTGCTCTTGCTGTGTAGGTGACAGGAGTGAATGTAGGTCATTGGGCTTAGCAGCATAATCCTTTACTCACTGAATCATCTGGTTGACCCACATTTCCCAAATTTAAAATCCCTCTGTGTCCTGAAACAGTAGCTATTGTGTTCTAAAAGATATTATTGATGTTAGTGGTCATGTGACTTTTTATTTCTATTTGACTAGTATTGATATCTGCTTAGGACAGTTCTAAACAGTGCTCAAAGCACTGATTACTGTTATGAAAATGTGTACTGTTCTTCTTAAGTGAAATTATATTGGAAATTAAATCATCACATTTATGTAATAATAATATATATAAAAATACACATGCCTGATTCATTAATGGATAGAATCTGGGGCATGAAGAACACTCTTGGTGTATCTAGAAAAAAAACCAGCATTCCTAGGGTCAGATGGAAGTTTCCCATATCAATATTAATTAAACTTTTTTGGTAGCCAAGATTGCATATTGAAATAGGACAGTATTCTATTCAATGACTCAACTTGATAAGTATAAACTTTGAACATTATCATATTGCTGGCTGGTGATCAGCTTCAAGCAGCACAGGGCTCAAAGGGAATCCAGAAAGTTGGCATACTATGACGTTTTTACTTAAGGGGGTTAGGGGAAAAGACACTCACACAGTCTCTTGATGGTCTCCTGATTTCTTCTACTTCTATATTCTTTATTCTCTTTTCTTACCTCTATCCAGAAATGTTCCCTCTATCTTTCTTTATTCTTCCTTATTCTCCCATTATTGATGTTTTCCTTCTATCTTTATTTTTTTCCTTTACAGCTTATGTACCTCAGAAAAATCTTTCAAGCAATATAAAAATTACAATGTGGTTATATTCTATTTTTCAAGTGAATGATTACAATGAATACAAGTAAAAAAAACAGCCTGTTATCTATATCTCTTATAGGATTAAACATTCTACATATTAAAAGTGAAAAACAAATTATCCCCAAGAACCCACATACATTCATATCTAAGCAAATTGTTATAGATTAACAGACTGTAAGCAAGCAAGATATTCTTCTCTGTCAGTTCTTTTACTGGCAGGCTGCATTTTGCAGTTACAAAGAAAGGATCAATCACTTTATTACTTATCTTGAAAGGTAACCCTATAAGGGATCTTAAAGGAATCACAAACCTAAACTTTTATGCATGAAAATTTAAAGCTCTACTTTTAATCTTTGGGGTGCATACCCACTCATCAATAGTTTCTCATATCAGGAGATAGAGGGTAGAAACATGCATAAAGAAATAGACATCATCTTTGATCACCAACCAATTCTTTTTAATGAAAGTATGTCAGCCAGTAATGATTGAACTGCTTTGATTTTTATCCCTAACCTTAAAGCTATTATCAAAATATCTTAATCCAATCTGGGTCATTCTAAAGCTTTGTTTTAGTTATGATTCACTCTGAAACCTGTGAACCCATCTCCCAATATTAAGATTGAAAGAAATCATGCTAACCTGGCTCCTGAGACTCAATTATTATTTTTTAAACATTAACCTAAGCCATTGTCTACATGGCTCCTCAATAGAAATTCATATGTTCTAACTGTATGATACTTCCTTGTTTTATTTTTCATCATCAAAACTCTAAGCTAACATTATTTAACATCAATTACCGGAAAGCTTAGGAAGAATCATATTCTTAATAATTCACAGGTAGAAATGCCCAGTAGAACAGGATATTTCCATGTGATAAGGACACTGCATTACAGGCATTGGGGATCTCTCCAAACCCATTCACACCATACCAGATACCAGAGAAAGATGGCAGTGGCAAACATGTAAAGGCACAGCAAAAGCAAACGACATTCTTGAGTCTGTTGTAGATGTAACCAACCATCTTATTAAATAAGAAACACAGAAACAATGTAAAAGAGAAAGCCGAGAGGTCAGAGCTCAGAGCTAAAATCTCACCCTTCCGCCTGCGGTGTCCCAGCTTCCCGAAAGAGAGCTATTTCCTGT